ATAAGACAATCTTTGATTTAACTTTTCTTGGGCTTATTCTCAGTCCAAATGTGAATTTTCAGAGGAAAAGTTGGTAAAATTTCGTATGTCCATTTGTTTTACTGACCATAAAGAACTAAAGCCAATATGAGTGGAGATGAGAAATATGTAGAAAATGTAGAGCTTTGATTAACCAAGAAAACCACTATTTTATAATTTAAAAATGAGCAGAATTTGAAAAGTACATATGTAATAAAGTATATAGGAAAAGTTAGAACAAAAACACATTTTAAAGTTTCATTTTGTTACTATAAATATTAACATATAGATTACATTGTAATGCTCACTCACTAATTTTAAAAACATCTGTTAATAAACTTAAAATCACGTGTTTTAAAATTTCCATATTAGCTATTATTAGTATGTGGAATGTGGAAAAGAGGCACCCATCCCACCATATTGCTTCAAAGAAAACTAACCCTAACCTTGCAATTTTTTCTCTCCACTATCAATTGAAATGGTTAGTTCTGTCTTCAAAACGCCTATTCCAACATGCCCTTATCCCCAATACACTCTCCTCCAATGGTGCCACAGTTGGGACAACAAGCTATTTATTATTATACTTGTAACAATGGTCATCTGTCAGCTTCTTGTTTTTCTGAGGGCTCCCGGTATTAACTCTTGTTTCTCCAAACCTGTGGCTTGGATCAGCACTGTTCTCCTTCCCTGACCTGCTGGAAAGTATACTCTCCCAGCTTCTCTTCAATTCCAGATCCCTAACATAAGCTTTAAAGATTTCAAAGGGTTTGGACTGCTATGTTAAAGACTATCAAGTGATGACTAATAATTCCATATTGCCCCTCTCCTTGTATTCTTGCCACTAAAAAAGTTCTTTCACACAGAGACAAAGTTGCTTTTACGGTGACGTAGGAACATCTCAAGATTCACCTACATAGTGCTTATCCCAGGAATTTTACTTTGAGCTACTTTTGAGTCCACCAACTTAAAGAAGAATAGCAATGAAGTAAAGGTGTGGGACCAATTCACACAGAAGTGACCAAACTATATCTTGCTATTCACACAAACATCTCCTCTTTTCTCAGAGTCCAACAGTGTCAGACCTTACCCCAATGAGTTTGAGTACCAGGTCTAGGTTACAGGGAGATCCTAGACTAAAAAAAATAAAAAATAAATCTGAAGCAAAGGGGAAAAAGTAGGAACCGGAGTTTTCTAAATGAAAGAAAGAGGAATTCTTCTGATCATCTATCTAAGAACTTTCATTGGTAGTCAACAAGTTATCTAAATATTACTGAATATTACTAAATATTACTGAAACATTCATGATTTTGCATAGATAAATAAATGCTTTATGCTTGCAAATACAAAAAATAATATTTGATATCCAATTTTCTAAATATGTACACATAATCTAAAGTACACCAGAAAAGCATTTACTCATATATAGTAATTAATGAATTTAAAACTGTTACCAACTAGTGTGACTTAATTAGGATTTTCAATCTAAAAATTTGGGCCTACAAAGAAAGATAAATACCGCAACAGAATAAAATGCAAATCTGACTGGGGAAGAGTGGCTTTTTCAATTAAAATCTACAAAGGCTTCAATAAGAAGTAAATGTTTCAGAGTATAAGAAAAATTAGAAACAATAAACTTTTTTTAAATGCAAATATTAAAGTCTTCCCTAGCTCAGAGTCTCTGAAGGTTTTCTTTCTAGTTTTGTTTTCAAATTTTTCTTTGGTTTTAAGTTGCCACCACACTTCACATTATATCTTTCCCAAACAGCAGCATTATTAAAACCAGAGTGACACTCGTGAGTCTACTGTTACAGTATTTTCCTATTTCTCCTCTTCGTTTTCAGAGTTAATAAAAGATCATAGGTCATTATATTTTTTCAATTGAAAAAGAAAAATAGGGGATAAAGTTTGAATCATTAAGACACAATAAAGCAGTCTCAATAAATAGGGACTGTCCGCCCCTCAAAAACTTACAAACATCATAATGTTTGTAATTCGTACTATAAAATTTGACTGAGAAAAAAAAACATACAGCGGCCTCTTTGTAAACAATTATTTCTGAGGTCTAATGACTGAAATCTTGTCAATAAAACATGTATCAGTTCTAGTATGCTCTCTTCAATCCTTAACTACATCTTTTTGAGGTCTCATCTTCCAGTAGCAAAAATGAAAGCATAATCTGATAAGCAGCAGCATAATATCAGTAAATCGTCAAATAACTAAACAATTAAAACTACATAAATGTACTAACTGGTAGTAGAATAAATCCCTATCTACTGCAGTTCTAAAATAAAAAGGGTTATGTTAAATATTAGGTCTCTTCACATTTATATTTCATATTTTTGAAAGAAAAAATGGAGATTTATTTGATGCATAGTCTGGTACAATTTTTTAAAAAGAACTTTCTAAAACAATCTTGCACATCACTTATATGCAAATAGACTAAAACAATTCCAAACTGAATTGTGAACAGAAGTGACCAAACTATATCTTGCTATTCACACAAACATCATGCAGCCAAAGAGTAAGTTGGGATCATAGTACTGGTCTAGTGTTGTCTCATTGGACATAATTTACCACTGGCCAGCCTCCAAATTCCCATACAGAACAAAAAAAACCAAAACCAAAACCAAAAAAACAACAACAAAAAAGAAGTGACCAAACTAACCTGACTACACAGGTATGAACAAGGCAATAAAACTGCTGCACTGTGCAGAAAAAATAATTTGTTAAAAAGACTATGCACAGAAAAATCCCTTTCTGGTAACTAAAGAGAAGTAAATAGAACTGCAAAATACAAAACAAACAAACAAACAAACAAAAACACAAAGAAAAGAATAAAAGGCACTTTATATATCAACACAAGTTAGCGTTTCAACTGCTACTAAGTATCTGCTGAAACAGTTCTAACTCTGTATGACAAGGAGAGAGGTTTGGGGGAGATGGGGAAAGTAATGAGCACTGAAAACCATTTCTTCAAATACCTGTAAGTTAAACAACTTTGCTTTCTATATGTAAATGCAATGCATATTATAATACAAAGTAACACTGATAATTTGTTCCAGAGTTAAAATAACACCCGCCCGCCCGCAGGTTTACAGATATGGAAATTGGATGGATTTGCATATCTTAAAATATGCAATCAATGTTCATTTCAAATCACCAATAATTAGGAAGCCAGTAAAAGTCATGTATTATTTGATAAAACTGGATCCTACCAGATCCAATCTTAGTTTCCCCTGAAACTATTTACAGACACAATTTGCTAAGTACCTGCATCAACATTCAGTATCTTGTTGAAATTGTCATGTTACAATCTAAATACTTCATTAAGAAATTGTAAATTATTTGAAAATCTATAGATTTTGACCACAAAATTCTCCAAAATACTTTCGCTTAGGTACTAAAGACAGTAATTTCAAATATTACAGAACGAGACTGCTAATTATGCCTGGATTGTACTGCATAAACATATTTAGATTTACTGCAACAGTATCATGAACTTTGAAAACTTGAGGTGTGAAGATCTTTTCTAAATTTTGTAAATTATTTTTTTTCACAAGACCAAAAACCTGAAGAGATTGCATATGCCCATAATTTTCAAAGTAGTTAAATTATCTGAAAACCTCGCAAAATAACTGAATAGCTTGACACTCCACTCCACAGACAAGATCCTACCAATATCATTTAAGTAATATCAACTCCAAATAATCCTGCAGCCACATGAAGTATTTTGCCATACATCAGATAACGCCAAACACCAGGCCCTCTCCTTTCATTCTTCCGGGTTTCTGCCATGTAGTTGCCAAAACTGCCCCCCTAGGGAATGTGATGATCAAGTAGCACTCCTCAACTCCGAGGGCTACGTCGTTAAGTTCCCAGTGCCGGGAAGTAAGACCAAATACAACCAAAGGAAGACACTTTCCCCCAGTAAGTCTGGAATGCGTAAAGAAAAGGGGGGGGGGGGCTTCTAAATCTAAAACTATATTCCTACAGCCTTCCACTGCATTCAAAAGCGAATACCACGCAAGGGCTCCCAAGCCCACCTCAAATACGGCCCTTCCGTCTGAATCCACCTGCTCCTCAGACAAACTCACCAGGATCAGAACGAGGGCGGGAACGGAGACCTGAGCACAGGAGCCTTTGCAGAACGGAGAGAAGGATGCTCAAGGGGCTCAAAATCGCGGCTCCGGGCCTTCCCAGCCCGGGTCCGCCCGACGCCTTCCCCCGATACCCGCACCAAAGCACACAATTCAAGCTTACCTCCTCCCCGAGCTCCCTTCGCAGGCACAGCCGGGAGGCGTCGCCGCCGCCACCGCTCTGAGGAGCAGGGGATGCGACTCTCTGTCCCCGCGCGTGGCCCCGGGAGGACAACAAGAAGGAGATGCGCGCGCGGCTCCCGGGAACCGGCCCTCGGCTGGCGAGGGGGCCCGGGGGCGGCTGAGAAGCGGAACTCGCCAGCCGCTTCGCCAGTATCAAGCGAGACTGGGACGTAGAGAGAAAAACAACAAAGAGACGCTGGGAAGTAAGAAAAGCCAACGAAAACACTTCCAGGCACCAGAAGGATCGCCTCAAAATGCCGCCGGAAGTCGAGGGTTTGCCCTGTGTCTACAGGCCGAGGCAGCTTCCGGCTGCCAAATTAGACGTCAGCACGCAGGCACCGCCCCTCCGGGGACACGCCCTCCACCGCCCCCGGAGGCGGCAGTGGGAATTGGCTGGTCTTGGTGAGAGATTCCTGGAGAGGATCTCAAATTCCCAATTAAAAACGATTTTAAGCCCAGCCGGCCTGGCTCGGTGATTGAGCGTCAAACTGTGAACCAGGAAGTCTGGGTCCATTCACGGTCAGGGCACGTGCCCGGGTTGAGGGCTGGATCCCCAGTGCGGGTGTGCAGGAGGCAGCCGATCAATGATTCTGTCCATCATTAATTCCCACCCCCCAACCCCCATTCCTCTCTGAAATCAATAAAAATATTTTAAGAGGGAGAGCTTTGTTCTTTTATTACATTAGTTCTTAGTTCTTGCAATAAGCTGTTGTAAATGTGGTAAAGGCCACATTTGTTGTCGAAAGTAAGTACATTCATTGGCTCTACAAAGTTTAATGAACGCTGAGCTGGAGCGACAGGAAACGTTTATTCTGTTATTGACACTCCACTTTCTGGGCCATGGTCTGTCTATTCCTGTGGCGCGAACGGAAGCACGGCTGTGTTTTTAAAGGCACAAGCAGAATTTGTTGAAAATTAAAGCAAAAATATTTAATGTATTTCTGGCAACCTTTTTTTTTTCATGTTTAGGGTCTAATCATTTGCATTAAACTAGTTATTAAAATTACTTGAGGTGGTTATGTTAGGGGCAGAAATAGACTATTGGGGACTAGCTATAATTATAAAAAATATTAATCATGCTCTGTTGACCATGATTTTTCTATTCTGATGAGAGAAAGCACATTTTAACCTGGCTGAAAGATGTAGTTCCTGGGATATGAGAGCCTACATCAGAATGCAGTTCATTTCCTTCTTCCAGAACTACCTATTATGGAAAAATTAAACAATTTAGTCCTAGTCCCTGGACGACCCCCAAACCCACATGGCCTGTAACCATTATGCCTTGCCTACTTTCCTACATAATCTTTGTCCCTCTACCCAATATAAGCAGCTGGCTTGTGGGGAGGGGCAGAGCAGATTTTTGTGGATGACCTGCTGCTCTCCCTCTCCCATGCTGCCGGCTTTATTGGAATAAACACTCATATATGATTCAACCCTGTCTCTTCTCAATTAGCTCAAGTAGTGACAAGCAGCCAGGGCCCATTGGTTGTCTGGTTACAGTTAGTCAAACATCATGAATTAAAGAAAAAAACTCAGTACCTAGCTTCTTACAAGTTAAACAAAAGGGGAAAATGTGAATTTATTTATTACACTTATTTTGTTCTCTGACAAAACCAAGGAATAAGAAAACCTTTTACCAAAACTATGATAAAACTTAAAAAAGAAACTGGTACAATGATTTGGTCTTGGAATTGGTAAATTAAAATGTGAGAACAGAGTGTAAAAATCAAGAGCATTAAGCATTCCTGATGGCATGCCAAGCTATTTTAGAGAGAGCAGCAAGAGCTTCTCTGCAAGTAGGTTTGATGAAATGCTTTGGCAGCAAGAATCCATATTTGCCTGTACGTCGAAGTTCAATTGTAAAGGAATATTTGATGCCCAAGTCATAGATCCAGTCATCTGGACCTCCAGGAGCTAGATCTATAAGAAGAAAAATAAATTACTTTTCAAAATACAGATGTTTCAAATTAACTAACAAAATGTGTTTTTTCCCTAAAAATGAAAATTGCTTTGCATTTTCTGATTAGTAAGTAATATACATTGTTGGTCAAAACAATGGAGATTGATGGAAAACAGGTTAAGGAAGAAAATTAGAATTATCCATAACTTTACCAAGAAGAGATAATCACCATTAATGTCTTAGTGACTTTTTTTTTTTTTTTTTAGTGAAGGCTATAACCAAAAAAAGAAATTTAACTTAATTTTTAAAATTTTCTAAGTTAATATTTTTCCTACATACATAAGATCATTCTATACATTCTGTTTTGTAACATTTCTAAACATGATATCTGTCGTGACCAGTTTTATGTATTGATGAGCTCAAATAATGTTTAACTCATAGCATTGCACTGTAAAGCTGGATGTAAATTAATTTAAATACCTATTTTTTAAAAAAATATATTTTTTTGATTTTTTTACAGAGAGGAAGGGAGAGAGATAGAGAGTCAGAAACATTGATGAGAGAGAAACATCAATCAGCCGCCTCCTGCACACCTCCTACCGGGAATGTGCCCGCAACCAAAGTACATGCCCTTTGACCGGAATCGAACCCGGGACCCCTCAGTCCACAGGCCGACGCTCTATCCACTGAGCCAAACTGGTTACAGCTTAAATACCTATTTGAGACCTTTAGATTTTTCTAATTTCTAAGTAATATAAACAACGTTACAATGAACAACCTTGTTTATACATAACTGCTTCTTTGTTCTTTAGAATATTATTTCCTAGAAGTAGATTGCTAGCATAAGGGTATGTACTTTTTACAATTATTCTACATGTTGTCAAATAGTTTCAAAAGGTTCACCAATTTATACCTGCACTAGCAAGGTATGAATATGCCCACTTCTCCCTCCCACATTATCCATGAAATTTTGCATTTATTGCAATTTTATGGGTGAAAAAATATCAAATTGTCTTGCTTTATGTTTTTTTTTTATTACCAGTGAATTGAATGTTTTGTTTGATACATTTATTGTCTATGTTTATATATATATATTTTATTCATTCTTACTCATTTCTATTTTGTTCAATTTATAGATTGTTTATAAAAGCAACATTGGTGTTATCCTTGTGTAATATGGGGAGAAGTTTTTCTTCTTATTTGGTTATTTAGCTTTCAACTTGGTTTATGACTGGATTTTTATATAAAAATATTTTCTCTATCTGGAATTTATTTTGGAGAAAAATACGTTAGTAATCCAATTATTTTTCTAAGTAACATTAGGTTTCTCAACCCTATTAATTGAATAATCTAACATTCTTAACTGGTTAGAAATGCTTTATTCATGAAATACTACATCTCCTTGTATATTTGAGGTTTCTAATGTATTTTAATATTTGGTTGGGGTGAATTCTCTCTCATTAGTCTTATTTTTCAGAATTCTACAAGCTCTTCTACTAAATGTATTCTTTCAAATGAAGCTCAAAATCATTTAAGTGTTAATTGGGATTTATGCACTAATTAATTTAGAACAACTGACACATTTTTTACATTAATTTCCCACCAAAAAACATGGCAGATTTCTCCTTTTGTTCATCTTCTTTTATGTACACCAGTAAAATTTTCTAGGTTTTTAACATATATAGATTATATGGATTTGTGTGTGTACATGCATATATACATTTAACAATGAATCCATATATATGTATGTAACTATATGTAATATGTGTGTATGTATATATATATATACATATATAGAGGAAGTAGGATCTTTTTTTCATTTTATTTTCTACCTGATTATTTTTGGTATATAAGAAAGTTGTAGAGTTGTGTATATTTAGTTCATAGTCAGAAACCTTACTCAACTTTTTAATTGTTACTAATATTTTTTAAAAATATTTTATTTATTTTTTACAGAGAGGAAGGAAGAAAGATAGAGAGTTAGAAACATCAATCAGCTGCCTCCTGCACACCCTCTACTGGGGATGTGCCCGCAACCAAGGTACATGCCCTTGACTGGAATCGAACCTGGGACCCTTCAGTCTGCAGGCTGACATTCTATCCACTGAGCCAAATGTGTTAGGGCTGTTACTAATATTTTTTGTGAATTTTCTACTGTTTTCCATGTAGACAACTATCCTATGTAATAAAAGGCTAATATGCAAATCAACTGAAGGGCAGAATGACCAGTCTCTATGATGCACACTAACCACCAGGGGGCAGACACTCAATGCAGGAGCTGCCCCCTGGTGGTCAGTGCACTCCCACAAGAGGAGCCCGCTCAGCCAGAAGCTGGGCTCAGGGCTGGCGAACACAGCAGCAGTGGCAGGAGCCTCCCCCACCTCCACAGCAATGCTAAGGATGTCCGACTGCCAGTTTAGGCCCAACATCCTCCAAGGGCTCCCGGACTTGGAGAGGGCGCAGGCTGGGCTGAGGGACCCCCTCTCTCCAGTGCATGAATTTCATGCACTGGGCCTCTAGTATAATATACAAAGTGATCATTTTTGCTTCTTTCTAATACTTGCACTTGAATTAATACAAAGGCGTTTACTGAAACATTGTTTTAATATTGAAAAATATTCATCAACAGTGGATTAATTGTTATTCATTCAGCAAATATTTCTGACAGCCATTATCAATATTTGCTGTTTATTCTAACCATTCTCCTATGCTTACATACACATACACGTAGATGTGTCCTGAATAAATGAATGAATGAATGAATGAATGAGTGGAGATGGACTGATTTCATCATAACAGGAAGTTTGCTCTATAAGTTCCTCTAGCCCTGAGGCACTATGGTCATGCTTTGGGGAACATTAGTAGAGAAGAGGATAAGAATCAAGAAAGCTCTGAATTGTGAAAGGAAGTTGTGGGATTTTTCTGTGACAGAGCAGGGACCCAAGTCAGATAAAGCAGCAATAAATGGATCAGTGACACAAGAGACAGAGATACCACATGGCCTCAGTTTTTTTCTGAGACAATTTTGGGTTGTTGAGAAGGAAGGGGAAATTTCCTGTCTGGACTTTCTATTAATAGGGCATCTGGTGTGATTATTGTTATGAATGTGTTTTTTATAACCCTGTAGATCATACCTATTTACATGCTATTTCCTCTATCGGGTTTTCCCTCACATCTTTGTTTGGAAGCCACGTATCAGGTAGGTCTCCCAGAATGTCAGCTACAGAGAGAGACCTTCCAAAGAACTTTACCCAAATAGCCTCTTTCTCCTGCAGTCATTCTCAAACCCATAAGCCTATTTTATTGTCTTTACTCATCAATGGAATTATACTATATTTTACTATTTAATTGCTTATATCAACAATGGAAACATTTTTATGTAAAGGACCAGATAGTAAAAATTTTAGGCATTATGGCCAGCATAGTCTATGTCACAACTACTCAACTTTAGTGTCATGAAATTATCATAGACCACAGACAAATGAATGGTTGACACTGAAATTTGAATTTCATATACTTTTCAAAGGTCTCGAAATCTTGTTCTTTTGTTTTGTTTTTTAGTCATTGAAAAAACTGAAAAATAATTTTTAGCTTTCCGGCTATACAAAAACAAGCAGTGGGCTGATATGACCTGCGGGTCATGATTTGCTGATTCTTGGTTACAGGTTTATTTTCTGTTCCTCTTCTCTAATCTCCCCCTCCAGCTTCAAAAAAGTAAAATAATTGTCTGTTATCCCACTGTACCTACAAAGGAATCCCTCAACAAATATTTAGAATATTTGTTAAGAGTTTGCCACATACATATTCTCGTCACTGTGATAGAAACCAAAGATATTCAACTATAGTGTACTATACTCTAGGGCACAGACTGTCACTAAAAGGCAACTAGTGTAATGGTTATACACTAGATGTGTACAGTGTTCAACCTGCACAACCTTACAGGGTGGCCTTGGACTGCTTACATATTCTTTTCACCCTTTATTACCTTTTCTGCTTCACTCAACTAGTGTGATGCCATTTCTATAATCCCTACTCTAGAGCAATGAGCATATTTCCTAAATAGAATTTTGTCTTCTTTTTAAATATTCACTTGTTAATATAGCTTGTTCAGTGCTGTCATAGCTCTTATGCTTCCATTTGTAATTGTTATAATCCAATTGTTTTACATGTGACCTTGTTTAAAGATTCCATTTAGAAAAATTAAATCTATACAGAAAAACCAAACACAGATTTTTAAAAATATCTCAGTTTTCTAAGATCTTAAGAAATACTTACATAAACTTTCTGAGCCACTGCCATATGTATATCTGGTATCTTTACTAATATTCTCAATAGCCTGGGCTGCTTCACTGGCCAGTAGATACTGAAATCAATAGAATATGAAATTTCAGTTAATGTAAAACTTTAAAACAGGACAGGTGGAAGTTTCTAAAAAATTCAATCATATATTAATTGACTCAGACTGTATACATGAATAAATATAGAGTAGGATGGCAGTGGTCAGGAGCTGGGGGTGGGAGGAATGGGGGGATGTTGGTCAAAGGATACAAACTTCCAACTATAAGATGAAATAGTCTTGGGGATCTAATATACAGCATGGTGACTATAGTTAACAATATTGTCTATATACTTGAAAGTTGAGTAAAGAGTAGATCTTACATGTTCTCACCACAAAAGAAAAAAATGTAGTTATGTGAGATGATAGATGTATTAACTCACTTTTTTTGTGGTAATCATTTCACATATATGTGTGTCAAATCATCACATTTTACACCTTAAACTTACATAATTTTATATGTCAGTTATGTCTCAATAAATTTGGAAAAAACTGTATGTATGAAAAAAATCTGCTTTTACCCAAAGGTAAATCAAGAAAATAAATTAACTTCAAAAAAATCTGTTTTGCTTTATGGAAATCACAATTGAGTGACTCTAACTGTAAACTCTTATAATACCTTGAAAATTGTGTTTAACTTGAAGAAAAAAATAATTCTCATCAGCCTTTTATAGGAATTTATTAACTTTATAAAATGAAGTATAACTATATTTCAAAGGCAAACAACTGAGGCTATCCTATTCCTAGATAAAATTATCACCAAACTTTAAATCCAAGTTCTCTAAATAATATTATACCTAAGTGTGCCTGATTCCCTTCTCATCCTTCTCAGAAACTTTATTTTAGTCTTGAGTAAAATGTCTAGTAACTCCCTAAGACTCATCCAATAAAAAATTATCTGTTTTTTGGTTATGAAGCAAGATCATAAGTCCCATGTGCCACTATATTTGTTTCTACCGTACCCAGATCTTTTCTGAAGTTGGATGGTGCTCACTGTCACTCTCTTGAATAACCCAGAGGAATATCAGTGGGTACGATGCTGTGCCATTCCTTTATTCAAAATAAAAATGTGAATGGAACCCCATTGTCTATAGAATGAAATGTAAATTTATTCTGACTTTCAAATAAGCTGACCTTATCTTCACAAGCTGACCTCACCTACTTTCTGATGGTATCACCTTTCACTTTGGCACTCTCACAATCCCCTGAACATACTTCTTGTGGGAAACACCATCTTCTCAGCTTGGAATGTCTTCCGTTCCCTGTCCATATATAGAAATCCCATCTTTCAATATTTGGCTGAAATTGTATCTGTTCCTTGGCATCATAGCATGTTATCATTCCCTTTACTTATACTGTATTGTCCACTACATTCCAAAAAAGGGGAGGGGCTGCTCTTGCCTCAACACTGCAATTGGAGATGCTTTCAATAGGACCCTTTGGAGTTAGAGATGTCAGCATGCAACCAATTCCTAATGCTGATACCAAATTGATGAGTGTTGTGCTGAGACTTGATCTGTGGTGGCTATTATAGAAAGCTAGTGACCACAAAGCAGATGCATAATTCCTGAGACTCTCGTCCTGGTCCTTGCTCATATGGCTTCACATGTAGCTCACATCCAGGTGGAATGGTTCCCTCTTGACCTTCAAGGAGTGTGATATTTTTCTTAGAAAGCCCATCAGCTGGACTGAAGGTCATGTCCTCAGTGTAAGACCCCCGTGCTTTACAGTCATGCAATGAACTTGCCCCCCTGGGTTACTCCTCGTAGAGTTAGGCCAAAACCCTAGAGGAGTTTTTAATTCTTGAAACTAAATATTATTTTATTTCTGAAATGCTAATGATAAAAATAATTAAGCAGCACTTACCAGTTCCTCATGGTCTTTGCTTCTGCTTCTGTTGTAAGAATATGGAAACACTATCTTCTGGGAGTATGAATGCATTGTGATATAAGCTTTAATATGATTGATATTTCTTCTCAAGAAATTAGCCACTGCCTTCACTTCTAGTTCTGACTCAGGGAAAAGGCCACAGTAGATTTCCGAGCACGAGAAACTTGATGCACCCTTCTCTGTTGTAAAATTGATAGACTGAAATTATATGACATTCTATTGTAATTTGTGATTTCCCTTACAATGTATTCTCCTACTATCTATGGTGTAACATTTTTAGAAATGTATTAGATAGAGCTCTGTAAAGAGTATACTTATGATATCCACTAAATTGTTTATGCCCCGTTAGAAGTTGATTATTCCCATGCCCTATAGCAGACCTCTAACAGTTGCTGCCTGGGGGCAACCATCTTGCAACCTTGAGAAAGTCTATTTGAGTCTCAGAAATGTTCACCCTGTCTCCCAACTCCTGCTTATGTGAGAACAATAAACCCCATTTTCTTTAATCCATTGTAAGTTTATTTTTTATGTTGTTTAAAAATTGCTAATTAACAGAGCCCATAAAAGAAAAGACTCATTTGGGAACTCAGAATATACAAGTCTGTTTTCAGTGTTACTTCTAAGTTGCTAAAGTGGCTTAGTAAATAAAATGTGATGGTGATATTTGGTGCCAGAGTAATGTTTACTCATTCCTTTGAAAGAGTGTAGCATATATTACTTCGAATGGTAGCCTGCCCCCCAACACTTTTCCTTTCTGTCCCTAATTCATAGGGATGGATCCCCAGGGAGCCACCCCTGACTGAAAAATTACTCCCCTCTGGAAATAGCTGATTAGGTCTGAATTGGGTCCTTAACTTGTGTCCTGAAAATCTGAATTCCCCCACTGATAAATTGAAATCAAGATGAAAATACTAGTTTCAGTATAGTTGCTCTTTTGAACAAAGAAGATAACACCACAGAACACATGCTGTATATCAGGAACTCTACGAAGATCTACACAAAATATTTTATTTAAGCCTCAGAGCAACCCTATGAAGCAAATGTTGTTGTTTTAGGAGATGCAATTGGGGCACTCTTGTTGGTAACCATCCTTTACAATAAGATCTATGTTACATATTGTTAATCACCCAATTACTTGATTCTAATCTTGGCTTTAGGTAATTTTTTTTACCTATCCATACTTCAATTTCCTTATCTGTTAAATGGAAAAAAAAATACATTAAATGAGTATTTAATGAGGATCACATGAGTTAATGCATATAACGTGTTTTACACAGTGCCTGGAAAAAACTAAGTATTTACTGTTTCTTGTCGTAGTCATCATCATTATCATTATCATCACTTGTACTGGGACCCAAAACAGCCAGTCTGCATCACAGAGATGAGATGGGGAGAGAAAGGATGCATTGAGCCCCCTACACTGCTCCAGGCCCAATTCTAGCCTGTTTCTGAGTCCCAGCTGCATCGTTGTCCTTGGGTTCCTTGGGCCACTCCATTAACCTTACAGAGCTTGTCTTTCTTATTTAAGCTTGTTCTGCTTTCTTCCTGTTATTTGCAACAGAAACAACCTTAATGTTCTTTTTCCCACAAGGAAATGTTGTGCTAAACACCCAACGCCTTTCCAAGTATTTTATTTGTTTTAATTTTTAACCAATAATGTGAATGGACAAACCAGTTTTGAGAGTTTGGCCAACTTTGAATACTCCTGGTCTTTTTTTCCTGATATATATTTCTAAAGAACAGAGATTGTGCAGGGTTGGTAAAGAGTTAATTTACAGTTGTTTATATGGAAAATAATACAATAATTGATAAATAATAATAAACTGTGTTTCATGTATTCATATAATCTACTTTTAAAAAGTTGTCTTTATTGTTGAAAATGTTACAGATGCTCCTTTTACCCCATTGACCCTTTCCACCCTGCGTCCGCTCCCTACCCCACCCTGTATATCGGGGGTAGACGGAGGAGAGGACGTGAAAGAGTTGGAGAGGCTTGTCCTTATATAAATCCTCAGGCCAGAGCTGTTTAATAGAAATATACTGTAAGTCATATATTTAGGTTTTCAAATAATCACTTTTAAAAAATAAACAGGTGAAGCGAATTTTAATAATACAGCTTATTTAACACAATATTACAAAGCATTATCATTTCTCACATAACCAATATAAATATTATTCATGAGATATTTTGCTACTTTTTTCACACTAAGACTTCAAAATCTGGTGCGCATTTTACATTCACTGCACATCTCAATTAAACAAGCCACATTTTAAGTGCTCAATGGCCATATGTGACTAGTGGCGACTGTAATGGACAGTGAGGCTTCAGATTCTCATTCTGTGACTCATTCTAGAGATGTCAAACATTTTAGTGGAAAGAGACAGGCAGTCAGGAAACTTGAGTTTGAGACTGCTTTTCCATTAAGCAGGCATGTCAATCTGAATAAGCTACTTGGTCTTTGTGCTTCATCTGTGCCAAGAGGTACCTGGTCTACCAGGTCCCTTCAAGTTCAAACATTATTTGCTTTGTAGGCAAAGAATCAAGAAATATCAGGAGAGGCAAATTCATAGAGACATAAAATACATTAGAAATACCAGGAGCTGAGAGAGCAGGGAATGAGGAGATATTGCTTAATGATTACAGAGTTTTTGTTTAGGATGATGAAAGTTTTGAAATGAATATAGTTGATGGTTCAACTAGATTGTGAATGTACTTAACATTGCTGAATTGTACACTTAAATGGTTAAAATGACAAATTTTATGCTATATATATTTTACTACAATAAAAAATAATTGAGAGACACTACCATCTCATAGAAAGAGAAATAATGGATTTTTTAAAAGTGCATACCCATTGCAAAAACTTTGTAATTTAACTTACCATTTGAGAAAATGAGTAGATCTGTCTTAGGAAGTTTGAGAACAGAGGTTTTCACAAAATTCCCCATGTTATAGACTGAATTCTGCCCCTCCCCCTTCACCAATTTATGTTTGAATTCTAATCCACAATGTACTGTGTTTGCAAATAGGGCCTTTAAGGAAGTAATTAAGTTTTAATGAAGTCATAGAGATAAGTCTTGATCTAATATGGTTGGTGTCCTTATAAGAATAGAGAGGGAGAGAGAGAGAGAGAGAGAGAGAGAGAGAGAGAGAGAGAGAGAGAGAGAGAGAGAGAGCAATGATACACAACACAGATAAAAGACCATGGGAGAACATAATGAGAAAGTAGCCATTTGCAAGCCAAAAGGTAGAGGTCTTGGGAAAAACTCATCCTTCTGATATCTTGATCTTGGACTTCCAGTCTTTCTCTTGTTTAAGCCACCCAGTCTGTGACATTTTGCTATGACAGCCCTAGCAGAATAAGGTATCCTTAACTTCATTCCCATCTCTAACATACAGACAATTTTAGTACAGAAGAAGGGTAAAATAAACATAAAATGAATAAGTAGGCTTGATATGTCATTTCCTATTAATAAATGAGGTGCTCTAATAGATCCTTTAGTATCATAAAGGCACATTCTAGTTGTAGGGACAAGGAACACAGAAGATTAAATTCTTCTTTCTCACTGGCTTACTTGGGACTCTCTCTTGTCTATATGCATGATGCTTCTGTTTCTGTTTTTAATTCTTGTGATATGTAATAATATATGGCAACATAATATAACATAGCAACATGCCTAAGAAGGGTCTGAGATATTTCTTTTTGGCAATAACAATATATTTTGACCACTTTGCTACTTAAATTAGGTAATATTGGTTTCACCATGGAAGTATTAAGTAAAATAGAGCACCAAAAGAGCTTAAAGATAAAATAAGAAGTTCCAAAAGGGAATATATAACTGAAGAGTGATTGTCAGACATCCAAGAATTTCAATAAGCCCTGGTTAGTGTGGCTCAGTTGATTGGGTGTCATCCCATGCACCAAAAGGTTGTGGGCTCCATCCCCAATCCCCAGTAGGGGGTATGCAGGAGGCAGCCCATCGGTGTTATGCTCTCACATCCATGTTTCTCTCTCTCTCCCTCTTCCTTCCTCTCTCTCTCTAAAATTCAATAAATTACAAAGCCTGGCTTTGTATCCCATATCTGCCACTTTTTAGCTCCATGATCTCCAGCAAGGGACTTAACCTTTTAAAGTCTGGGATTCTCCATTCATGATATTTTGATAATGAAATCTAGGAGATACACTATGTAAACTGCTCCACACTTAGTAACTGTCAGCCCTATTTATTCAGCTTTATTTTATACTAGAGGCCTGGTGCACAACATTCATGCATGGGTAGGGGGGGGACCCTCAGCCTGGCCTGTGCCCTCTCGCAGTCTAGGACCTCTCAGGGGATGTCCAACTGCTGCGGAGGCGGGAGAGGCTCCTGCCACTGCCATTGTGCTGGCCAGCTGTGAGTCTGGCTTCTGGCTGAGCGGTGCTCCTCCTGTGGGAGCACACTGACCACAAAGGGCTGCTCCTGCATTGAGCTTCTTGCCCTCTGGTGGTCAGTGTGCATCATAGTGACCAGTCTTTCCGCCATTTGGTTGATTTGCATATTAGAGTTTTATTATATAGGACTAGTGACTCAGTGCATGGATACCTGCACATTGAAAGGAAATTAATTAGAAGGTGGCTGGTGGCACGGGACTGGGCGAGATGGGCCAGACATGCCCTGGAGCCAACCTCCCAGAGTCCCTCCCTGGCAACTGCTGAGTGAGCAGGGTACCTCTGGCAGGTGGGGTCCCTCTGCCTGGCCTGCGGGGATGCGGTCAAAACCGGCTCTCGGACATTCCCCGAGGGGTCCTGGAGTGCGAGAGGGCACTCTGCAAAGTTGCTGTCATACAGGGTGTGGAGTGCAAATGCAAGTGTGCAGTAAACCAGATTCAGGTCCAACAGTGCCCCTGCAACAACATGTCCTACAGCTGAATGTCGAATCGTGCAGCCCCGCAAGGAATCGGTCTTCCTCCTCTCTGGTTTTGGGGTGCATCACCCCCTAGAACTGCTGCTGCTAAGTCACTGCAACTTGGCAGCTCCTGCATTGAGCATCTGCCCCCTGGTGGTCAGTGAAATCATAGTGACTGGTCAGATGGTCAGACACTTAGCATATTAGCCCTTTATATATATCAGGGGTCCTCAAACTTATTTTTAATTAATTAAATCTTTATTGTTCAGATTATTACATTTGTTCCTCTTCC